CTGAGAGCATAATGAAACTGACGACAAAGTCGTGAGACTTGTGGAAAGTCTAAGGTTCGTTATATCAAGGTTGCACTGTGGATTAGCTAAGTTCATCTCTATTTAAAATAGTTTACCTTGTGTTCCTCAATGTTCATCTTCTCCACCTGTTCCCCACAGTCACATTTGACCTGTAAAAAATTACAGACAGTGGATTAGTGACCTAAATGATACCACATCAACCCTTGCAATAACATGCAAACTTTTCATCCTATATTACTGGGAGAAATAAAACATCATAAAAAGAACATTTTTATATTTTTCTTCATCTTTATCCCCAAGTGGCAAACTTCCTGTGCAAATGTGAAACGTGATGGCAAATCTTATAAAATAAAATAAATTACCAAATACATGGGTTTTCATTGCAGCTGAAAAATGGATGGTTAAAAGTACTGGAGTTACTGGCTTTATTTCTTATCAAAAGGGGAACCTGCAACGCTAAAAACTCTTGAGAGTTTTTCATGGATGCCATAATTAGGATGTTCATGCAGGGTTGTCATTAAGAGCCGGGGGCCGGGGATTTTCCCCGGCTACTTTTATTGGAAAATAGAAGAAAAATAGAACCAAACGAAATCCCTAGCCGTTTGATTCCCCGCCTACTTGTTGTATTTACCCGCAACTTGAAATCTTAGTGACAACCCTGTTCATGTCAAATATAGTACAACTTAATACTGGTAGTAATCATAGATTAATAAGTGTGTCTGAGTTTTAAACCTAATATTATGCCTCACAAGTCTTGAAGCATACATGTACCCTCGTCTCTAGCATACTGTCACCTAGTATCAGCCTGCAGGAATTATTAACTATACCTTTAAAATAAATGATGCCTACATGTACATGTATACCTTATCTTCTAATAACCCCCACTGAAACAAATTGAGGGATTGAAACTCGTGACCCTTTCACTACCAGACTGGGTCAAGGTAAAATTTAGACAAAAAATCCAAATTTCATTTTGTAAAAATTATGACATAATGACTGAAAATGAGTTCAGAGGTTAAAACCATGAAATAAAATTATATAAAAGGAAATAATTTTACGTTACAGTCACCTTGACATGGTTTTCTTCAAAATGTTCTTCTTGCTGTGAGGTCGGCACAGGTTCACCACACACCTTACATAATGTGAGATTCCTTTGACAATGTGTGACATGCATGACATAGTTGGCTGCTGGAATGTCTCGTCGGCTGTCGTACAAGAGAAGTTAAAAGTTTATAGTCGGTAAAATACTCACTTTCAGAGGGAGGTTTGAGGTAAAAGAAGTTTTTTTTAGATGTGCCCTATGATAAAGACACCTCCTTCAATGCTGCTATAATAACTAATTTTGCAGCAGTGAAAGATAATAATTATTCTTCAGCACAAAAAGGCCCTCCATGCATAATAAGGTTCTACCCTGAGCGGTGCGCAAGGAAGAAAATTTAATTTTGATAGCATACATGTTCAGCTGGAAAAGAATGGCCACAGAACACTGTTTTATGGATTTCTAGCATTATTTGGGAGAAGAGAAATCATGGTAACAAGCATATGAACACCTCAACAAAACCAAAGGCAAGTTTCAGTCATCAAGTGTTTGCTTAGTAAAGAAGGATTTATTTTTGTACAGTGGGCTATAGCTCCATTAATGGACTTTGCTCCTAGTGATTCTTCCCTACACAAAAGGTTGTTTTCATTCTGAATAAGGTTCAATAAACTCTAAATATTATTGCATGACAGATGCCTAGCCAGAATGAGTAAAAAAAATCNATAATAACTAATTTTGCAGCAGTGAAAGATAATAATTATTCTTCAGCACAAAAAGGCCCTCCATGCATAATAAGGTTCTACCCTGAGCGGTGCGCAAGGAAGAAAATTTAATTTTGATAGCATACATGTTCAGCTGGAAAAGAATGGCCACAGAACACTGTTTTATGGATTTCTAGCATTATTTGGGAGAAGAGAAATCATGGTAACAAGCATATGAACACCTCAACAAAACCAAAGGCAAGTTTCAGTCATCAAGTGTTTGCTTAGTAAAGAAGGATTTATTTTTGTACAGTGGGCTATAGCTCCATTAATGGACTTTGCTCCTAGTGATTCTTCCCTACACAAAAGGTTGTTTTCATTCTGAATAAGGTTCAATAAACTCTAAATATTATTGCATGACAGATGCCTAGCCAGAATGAGTAAAAAAAATCCATGTTCTTTGACAACAAAAGAATGGCTTTGTAATGATGACTGTGATGTTGAGATCTGGACTTTGACTATTTTTCGCTACATGAAACATCAGAATTCACTTCAATATCATTGCGATGCTCTAATCTCGAAGGGTAATTACCCGATTTCCAAGTGAATGGGTTCTCTTTGTGGGACTGGTAGTAAATCAGTTAAAAAATCACGGAAGATCGGCAAAGATTTTCTATATAAAATATTACGCTGGCTCATAAACGGATAACATATTGCCACAATGATTAGATCAGCCAGATCGATAATTAAAGGCACAAAACAGAAGAAAAACAGAAAAAAAAACACGCAAGTCTAATACTGCTACTAGTAAGGGCAGATGTATCGATCACTTAATATCACGAAGCGATTATCATAATTCAAATTAGTTTCTCGATAAATATGTAATAGGCTAACCAAGCCACAAGTCTGCAAGATAACGAAGCAAGAACAGTGTAAGAAAAACATCGCATATGAGATCATAGATAAAAAGCTAAAATAAATTAAAGCAATACGACTAGAATTATGGCTTATTTTTTAATTAAAGTACGTTAGAAGATTGAGCAAGGAATGGACGGACTCCTATAAAGTACTCTCCTGGCAGTAGACAGATTCAAATAGTGCTGTAGATCGTTGAAGAGGCCACTGTTTGCAAAGCAAAGTTTTAACTTTACAAATAAAATAACATATGCGTAATTTCAAAAAAATATGACGATGCAGTTACGCTTTGCATATTTTCAACACAGCAAAGCAGGAACTATTTGGTTTTCAGTCTTCCCTTTGTCAGATCGGCCAAGATCGTAATCAACGACAAGTAATAGAATAAGAAACTTACCAATTTGAACAATACTCTGTTTTGGCGATTTCTTCTTCCATTTTTCGAGGCGCAAATGTTGTTGCTTTTTTCAAATCAAGAAGCGTGGAGTAAACGTAGAAGAGTTGAGGTAAAGTAGAACTTTCACTTATATGTGTTTACGAACGATTCCCGGAAACTTTTAAGGCCTTCAAAGGTCGATTCTTGGAACATGACAAAGGGGATTTATCAACGTAACTTCCAGTTTCCGTTGATTATAAAAATAACGTCTTTCTCATTGACATCCCCTTCTTCCGCCTTTGAGTATCTACAACACAGCTCCACAACTCTTCTTTCACTTTCGATGGGTCGTGACCGCTGGCACAACTTTCCCGCCAAGAGCCCTGGGGGGAACCTGGGGGGAGGGTCGTGACTAGAACTTAAGACTAAAACGGATTTAGAACGGATACTCCAAAATCAGGTATCCGCGCGGAAACTGGAACTGAATAAAATTATTTTCCGGCAAACTCTTCGACTCCTTACGACCAACGACCTGTGTTTTCTGTTGAAGTCATTGTGTAAGCCAAGAATGGATACGGTACTTCAAAATGTGGATCAATGCTCCGATCCGCCGAGGTTAGTTACTTTTGACGTTCATAGCGTAAGCATTATTGAAATTATGTTATTGAAATGAAATGTTTTTTAATTCGGAAAAATTTTTCTTAGTTGTAATTAACTTTTTTTTAAGCTAAATTAAGTGCTTTTTAAATCGACAGAAATTGTAAATAGTGTTTTTGAATGAATAGTTTTTTCTTTTTTTTTAAGCGAATTAATTGTAAATAGGATTTTAATAGTTTTTTAATAAAATTGTCTTAAAAAAATTATTATTATTATTATTATTATTATTATTATTAAAATTGTTGTTGTTGTTAGGCAATTTTCATAAAAGGTTAATGCGTCACTAATTACTTCATTGGGGCAATTTTTCTTCCACACGTAAGAGGACCTTGCTTTTTTTCTTTTCGTGAATCTGACCACCATCGTCGATAGGTATTTAACATGGTGGGGAATTCCACATCACATTATAGGAAATTCCATCAAAAAAGTGTCTGCACATATTTCTACATTTTTTCTTTTTTCGCAAAGAAAGCGCCTTCCGCCACCCCGAGGCTATATCAGTTCCCCGCCTGGCTTTGCCAGACTCGTACTAAGTCGTTATTTATGTTTTTTGGGGGTGGGAGAAGATTGGGGTTATGTTGAGGCGGGCGGGGACTAATGTTCTCAACATTTTCTCTACGAGTCGTAACGAGGTTGGCCTTTTCCTGCGTGCGCATTGGAAAAATCAGAAATGATCTCACAATGCTTCGAGGAATAAAATATCCATGACAACAGACCAATTTCGAAAATTTTGCGATGTGTTAGACACAGCGAATAATGACAAAAGGCTTATAACAGAGTAATTCATGGCGAAACGTTATGATGAGAAAATTTGATTTAATCCTATTCGTGACTGGATGCCTCCTTTTGTGTTGTCCAGGTGAGTTTAAACTTAATAAAACTTAAACGTACATTTTTATCTTCATATTATGAATCTGTTCTATATTGAAATGTAAAAAATGTGATTTTCATGTAGGCTGACCTGTACTTAACCTCGATTTTTTATGGGTAAAATTTCCTTATTACACGAAGCATATATTTCTAAACCTATGTTCTTATATTTTCAAAAAAAATAATAATTAACTTATTATAAGCTAATATGATTTGCAATGTAATAACTAATTAAGTAGGCTCTTGGTAAATTATGCAATTATCTTTTTCAAAGCTATCTATAAATACGGTGAATAAAATTTATTTTGTTCTGAATTATCTAATTAGATATTTGATAGATTCTGCATGAAATTAAATAATACGTGCTGTGCTCATTTTTTTTTTTGCTGAATGGTTTTTTCAGCTTTTAAATCCGAAAGTAATGCCTCTTAAAAAGTATTTCCCGTTTTCACCTCAGCAAGAAATAATGGCAGTGGATATGAGTTTAAGAGTCTGCGTGGTTAAAGTTTACCAGGAAAGTAGGGTATCGACAAGGGTGGAAATCATAGCTAATTTACCACACGTTTTAACAGTTAGCATTTTGAGATAGGATCCCCCCCAATCAATAATTCTTGGGTGCACCCTCCCAAATTTATACGTTGGCATCGAGATTTTTTGCGGCGGTGACGGCAATGAAAAAAGAGAAAAATATAAGTAAAAGAGCAAAACTGTAACTCTGTAAGTGCATCACACTTTTTGATACATTTCTTCGCTGTCGTTTTACGACTTGTGTGTTTCTATAACAGGGCGTGGACACACGACACAAATTTTTTTGTCTGTTTTAGCATTAACAGCTAATTAAAACAGAGTCCTGTACAAAACAAACAAACAAATAAACAGATACAAAGAAAATCAATACAGAAAGTAGCAGATACCGCTTATGTTTCCTTAAGACAGCTCCCTAATAAATTATCATTAGAACGCTGACAAAATGGTGTCTTTTTTGATTTGCAGTAGCCGTGGAAGGCCAGTCTTTGTGGTTTAGGAACCCTTATTTCATTTCATACGAAGTTACTCAGGGAGAAAATGTAGTAATGGATTGCGCAACCTTCCAGGAGGCATATCACACCGGACTTTTATATGAATATGGTCAAGTGCCGCCGTTTGAGCTTGTACCCGATGGGAAAAAACTCATGCGAGAAGACCAGATCTTCACTATAAATAACGTTACCGCACGGGATGAAGGGATCTACTATTGTGTAGCCAAAGACAAACAACTCGTGGAATACAAGAGGAAAGCGGGAGAGATTATTTTTATCTCTTGTAAGTGTAAATTTCTTATATACTTCCATGTATACACTTTTAAAAATGCCTTCCCTGGAACACAGATAAAGGTAGAGGCTAGACTATGACTCCCTCTAAATAATAAATAATAATAATAATAAATAAAAATAAATTAATAATAATAATAATAATAATGAGTCTTTATTTCACCAAAAGATAAAACTACATATCTTATGTTACAATAAGAGAAGATAAAAACTATGATAAAAATATCTACGTTATATGTATATATTAAAAAAGCGTATCATTGCAATAAATGGAGCTTAAAAATCAACCTATTTACAAAGGTGTTCATAAAACGCTCTGTATTAATTTTCGGGCGTACGCAGTCTTTTTTCCTAAGATTATGTACTTTCCGCCCGACCCTCCTAGATTCTAAGGGAATAGCCCTGGAGACCAGGTTGCCCCTTGTATGGAGAGGTTAGGCAAGCTTAGTCTTAGCAAGACTCAGTTTTAACAGTCAGAATGACAGTAAATTAGGTGCTATCATCAACTGACTCAACACAAAGGGTTGAAAGAAACTGAAAATGTCCACATCATACTACAAAAAGAACTTAACGATACTTTCTGCACCCTACAATCCCTACAAAAATCCAAGAATAGACCGTAAAAGAAGCATATAACCTTATGCTTCTGATCGTAAACGTGTTCGTAGTATTTGCATGACAAACTGGGAATTTCGCCTTTGAAGCGACTTTGGAACGGCTTTTATTCAAAAGCCGAACTTTTAATGTACCGAACCTAATGCATAACTTATTATAACGTATTTTGTAAGCTGTTTGAGCGAAATTAGCATTTTCCGCCTTTTGAACTTAGTTCAGCTGCAATTAAGATCGGTGTCTAAATCAATTCAGCCGGTCTAAATAATTTGGGTCGAATTAGGTTCGGCTTATGAAAAGTTTAGCGACAATTTTAGCACGGTCAGTTGTAGTCAATCAATAATTGATTCGTTATCCTTTTTCCTGTAGCGGAACCGGCAGCTGTAGATTTTGAGATTGAAAAGTCAGACGACTCTATTAAGGAAGAGACAGTGGCAATGAAACTGGCCGCGAGCAAGCCGTATCTTTTCTTTAAACAAAAGTCTCCACTCCGCATCAACATGAAAAACCAAAATCCCTTTGAACTGACTGTGTCAGCCAAAGGACTTCAACCAATCAAATTGCAGTGGAAAAAGGACGACCACGAGTTAATGATTGGAAGCAGGTACAAGACCTATGACAGCGGTCGGCTTATGACAGTGGACCCTCCATTTACAATGGAAGACGGTGGCACTTACAGTGTCTCAGCATGCAATTCTAAGGGCTGTACCGTCAAAGGTGTCCAGGTCATGTTTTACGGTGAGTATTGGATTGCTTAAGATTGCTTCATAGTTTAAGGTTTATCTGTCGGGATTCTGTAGTCACCAGGGTACAGAGGGTAATAAGGCTCTTTTCGTGTTACGTCAGGGAACTGTTTTTTCCTCTTTTCCTGTTCGCCCTATAGGAACCGCATCAACCTCGTCCCCAGGGCTTTTCCCTCAAAAAATGCCCTGAGGACGAGGTTGGCGCCGCATAGGCTTACTTTGTGGAAAGGGAGAAAGGGGGGATTTCCTTTTCGCTTGCCAGACCTGTTTCTAACGTCATGCTACTGCCCTGCTGAACTCAATTCATAAATTGCTTGAATAGGTTAGAATACATTCTAAAAGTTCACTAAAATCGCTTTTTATTTTAAAGTTTTGTTTTCCGCAACGGCTATTTTTATTCAACTAGTGAGTTAAATTCGACCTCTGAAACCAAGTCTTGTTACGGTCGTGCTAGAACCGGGCTAAAATCGAGGCAGTTTAGATCAGCAGAAGCACGACGTTTGAAACAGGCGTTTCTCCCCTTCTTATTCCCCATGGCTACCTAAAAAGTTTGTAAAAGACCAATATAGACCAAAAATAAGATATAGAAATAGAAATAGGATAGCTGAAAAACAGTGAAATTACCTACTTCTTTCAAATGAATTTTTCCAAACGATCGCGAAATGCGGTGTTTTCCCTGATTTTGCTAAGAAGCCGTGGATGCCGTAACTGTTGCCTGAAGAACACTCTTTTAAGACCAACAAAGATAATTACCTAACCATGCTGATCAATAAACCAGTAATTTAATCACCCGCGTGAAAACGATTTGGGAGACGAACTAGGGTTGATTTGGGAAACTATGCGTACCCCTGGGAAATTTCTAGCCATGCCCGAGGGGGAGCGCGGTTGTACGAAGGCCGATTAGCGCTAACATGAGTTATGTTTTACTAATATATAAAATATCAGCAAGTCTAGAGCGACAAACCAATGAGTGGTGCCGGATCTCCCAGTTGTAGACCTGTATCAGTACAATAACAACTTGTAGAGAAATATGAACGGCAAACTGATCCTTATGGCAAGGCGATGAAGAAGTTAACAAAAGAATAAAACAAAAATATATATTTAATCCACTGGCGGATCCAGACCTTCAGATAAGGGAGGGGTCCGGTCATCCAGACCCTGAGATAAGGGAAGGGGGGGGGCGTTCTCCGAAACAATTTTTTCGGCCCGTGTGGCCTCAGTTTTGTCTAACAATAAAGGGGGGCGGGGGGGCCGCCCCCCCCACCCCCGGGCCTCTCCCCTGGATCTGCCACTGTAATCCGGGTTTCATTTCACGTTTGAATTTCGCACCAACATTGGGTTGCTTATCCAAACTTTGTCTAACATAGCCCTGGGCTATTAGGGACAGCAGCAAAATCCCTAGCAGACACTTTAATGACTTGAACTTCCCCCGGAGAACTTCCACTTGTAGGGACTACGAACATATAATTCTCTTATTTGCAGTGATACAGAATAACACCCAGATGGTTCAAGATGATTCGGAAGAAAGCGTAGAACCGGAGAAAGGTATTTTCCAGCTGTTATTTGCCCCTTTGTGCTACCGATCTTAGTAAAAGCAATGAAATTACTTACCGTATTTATTCGATTAACTGCCATGAGCGCTTGTTAAATTTTTGGACCTTGATAGTAGGCGCTTATTTGAGGCTGGGCGCTTAATAAATTTTAACCATTCTCAAAAGTTTAGTATGTTTATTTTGCAACAAAATAATAAATGGTAACAACAAAAAGCGAAGATGTAACAAAGCAAGGTTTCTGTAAAATACTCTGAAGAAAACTCCGTCTTCGGGAGGGTCTCTTATTATCTCTTACTCGAGTTTTTGTGGGAGGGAGTGTGGTGGGGTGGGCGCTTATTCGAGGCTGGGCGCTTATTAACTTTTTCTGCCTTTAGGATGGGCGCTTATTCGAGGTGGGCGCTAATTCGAGGTTGGCGCTTAAACGAGTAAATACGGTAAATGACAAAAGGGTGCACGGGTGGGTCCAGAAAGTTTCTACTCGTCTTATTTTGCCGCTTCATTACAAATTGTCACGTGAGCCGGCATACCACTGTTCCCCACTATGGGGTCTTGTTCTAACTAAGATTTCCCCATAGTGGTTCTTAGTAAAATTCTTTACTATTTTTACTAAGATTCCAGAAGTGATTTTTAACCAAGAATCTTTGTAAGAATCACTATGGGAATCTTAGTAAGAATAGATAAGAGTCTTACTAATTATGACTATGGGAATTTTAGTGAGAATTTGGTGAAAATCACTATGGAAATCTTAGTAAGAAACGTAGACTTGCTACAAGTCGACCTCTTGGCGAGCGGAGCGAGCCTTGTTTGGCCGCGAAGCGGCCGACCGCGAGCGACGAAGTCGCGAGAGGTACCTATCTCTGTGCGCTCGATAAACATTTAATGGCGGATCCTATGCCAGCCACGATAGAATCGGGTAAATCCCCACAATTTATAATATTACGATGAAATCCGACGAAGGACTTTTGGAAAGTCTAAAAGAAAAGGTAAGAATCTTTGTAAGAATAACTATGGGAATCTCAGTAAGAATAGGTGACAATCTTAGTTCGTTAATCTTCCCGTGCGCATATCTTGCCAATCTCACGCTACGCTCCTGCTTAGTACTAACAAAGTACTTGGTTGTTTAATTCATGATATACAGGGTTGATGGATACAGTGTCAAGGGGTTCGGATATACAGACCCCCTAGACCCGTGGCCAGTGATTGCTTCCGTTGGCCAAACAAATAGGTCTCCCGAGTATTATACTATACAATTGCAAAGGACAGAGATGAACTTTGAAAAAGTGTTAGGGCGAACTGTTCTCAGAGACCCTAATTACTGAATCCGTTTCCTGAATCCGGCGTCTCAGTTGGCCATTCGTGCCTTCACTTGTATTTCCTATTTTTGTGGAAATATTTCTTCGTCGTTTCAGTTATTTACTTAATGTCTTAATCATTTTGGACATTAGTTCCCGGTGGATGAATTTGACTGAATTACATGACAAAGCTACAATTATCTTTAGTTGAATGCGGAAGCTATAAACTTGTTTTTTTTTTTCTTTCTTCCGGCAGGCGAAGGATTCATTGGAAATTTTTTGAAGAAATATGGACTCTTGGGAATCCCTTTGGGGATTGCCATTATTCTCGTCATTGCTATTTCTTGTGTATCAGGGGAAAAAGAAGTCGAGAAAGCTCCTCTTGAGTAAGTAGTCTATCATTAGGGAGTTTTTACAAGACATTTTTGATTGACGCACGTCAACCGGAAGTGAGGCGTTTTGAAAGGACCTGTACAACAATGCGGGAAAACCGGTGCCGACTATTGCAAAATGTCTACTTCCGGTTGACCAGCCTCGCTCAAAAATGTCTTTCAGCTTCCTAATAATAGCTTATTTTGAAGGCAAGGAATCGTGGTTCAAATTTGATCTGAAGATACGCGACTTATGCAACTAAGAATTTGAATTTCTCATATCTTCTTGAAGGACAACAGAAAATACATCGTTTAATATAATGTCCATGGTATCGGTGTAATCTTTCTTCCTACAAATGCCATAAGGTTTATAGACTACGCGCCATTTTTTGGCCATTGCGATGCGGTGATCGATGCAGAAACGAAGATTTACTCGGCGATCGTATAACTCGGTCCCAGTCTCAGGATCGAGGAAGGGCCCTCTCGTCTATCCCTTCAAGTGACTACCGAGGTCAACAGGAGTATAGGAGGGGTTAGCCTGCGATCATGCCCTCTAGCTCTCCCTTTTACTCTGTAATCTGTCATTTTTTCCCCTCTCGGGCCAAAGAAGCAAAGAAGTAAAAAAATAATAGTAACGCCTGATCTCAGGTTAAGGAGGGGTCTTTGACTGAGTGAGTACCTAGCTTATGATCAGTTTAGTACAGTTTCTGGTTCCGGTATGCTGGAGAATTCTGGATTAGGATGTGGAAACCGCGCTGGAAAACATATCGCGGGACTCTTATAAGGTTTCCATCACAACATCCAGTCGGTCACCGTCATATTATACTTATTGGAAGTAGGCTCTTTCGACTAACTTTATACGTTTAAAAAACGGCTGGTAAAAAAGGCGGTTAAGTCACAGAGGTGGGAAACCTTTGTGAATTATAGTACATAAAAATAAATAAATAAACAGGACGCATCTTATTAGTAAGGCTTTTCATCACGGCTTAGTTAGGTTTACTCAATACCTAACACAACTATGTAATTTTAATTAAGTTTTTAGCAAATCTTTTAAAGGCAAACCTTTTAGTAAGGCTTTTTATTCTTAGTTAGGTTTTTTTAATATTACACACAACGTTTAATATTACACACAACGCATGATGTAATTCTTCAGATTCTTGTTTATCATTTAGTCATTTTTATTCTATGTATTGTTGTAATGCGCAGTTGATCATCTCGTCATGGGAACTGCGCAATATAAATTCTAAATTATTATTATTATTATTATTATTATTATTATTATTATTATTATTATTATTATTATCTCGCAGTATAAAACTTTGGAATGCTGTCCACATTATGAGTAGTATAGGGCGCATAACGTAACCTACATCACTTGAGAAGCTATACTTAGAAGTAAAATAAGGTCGGTGCGAAACCTAATACAATCCTAATATACATAATGATATGAATCTCTCTACTTAAAAAGCCAACTTAGAATATTATTAAATTCTTATACTCTGAAAAACATACGCAAAGACATGATGAAATAATTATCTCTACTTCAAGCCTATTTAGAAGATTATTCAGTTTTTATACTCTCATTATCTCTTATATACCTAAGCGAGGCGATCATAATGTGGTTATCTCTACTAAAAGCCTATTTAGAATGATATCAAACTCCAATACTCTATAAAATCTAAGTAAAAGCATCAGTAAACTTGTGTTTCTGGATTTCTAGCAAAAAAAAAAGAAAATCCTACAATCTAATGTCCTCAGAGTCCTAACTAAGTATTTATCTTAAATGTTCTGGCAATGTTCAAAGTCTTTGAGATGACCGACTTCTGCATCCGCTCAAGTACGCTCCGTGCTCTCGCTCCTAGTAGCCTCCTCACCGACTTCTCTAGGTGTTTAGAGAAACCACCCAGTACGTCAATTATTACGTTGTACTGTTCAACCCTGTAACCATTGTATCTCTGCTTCAGCTCCCACATCATGGGCCCATACTTGAGTGTCTTTTCCTCATCTTTCTTGGCTCTACTCTCAATCCATGGGCAGCTCATTTCAATTGTGAACACTTCTTTCTTCTCGTGGCTGACAAGTCGCGCGTCGATCCGATTTGCTCTAACTTCGTTGTGCTCTGCATAGATGGAAATATCCCAAAACGCCTCACTCGTGGTATTCTGGTGGGCTGGTTTATTATTATTATTATTATTATTATTATTATTGTTATTATTATTATTACTATTATTATTATTATTATTATTATTATTATTATTATTATTATTATTATTATTATTATTATTATTATTAATGCTATATTTAAGTAGAAGGTGCTTTAAACGTGTTAAGAAAGTCATAACTGCGTCAGTTTTAAATAACGTCACCCCAAGAGTACAGGAAACATTTCTTTCCACTGAAAAGGTTAATGCGTCACTAATTACTTCATTGGGGCAATTTTTCTTCCACACGTAAGAGGACCTTGCTCTTTTTCTTTTCGTGAATCTGACCACCATCGTCGATAGGTATTTAACATGGCGGGGAATTCCACATCACATTATAGGAAATTCCATCAAAAAAGTGTCTGCACATTTTTCTACATTTTTTCTTTTTTCGCAAAGAAAGCGCCTTCCGCCACCCCGAGGCTATATCAGTTCCCCGCCTGGCTTTGCCAGACTCGTACTAAGTCGTTATTTATGTTTTTTGGGGGTGAGAGAAGATTGGGGTTATGTTGAGGCGGGCGGGGACTAATGTTCTCAACATTTTCTCTACGAGTCGTAACGAGGTTGGCCTTTTCCTGCGCGCGCATTGGAAAAATCAGAAATGATCTCACAATGCTTCGAGGAATAAAATATCCATGACAACAGACCAATTTCGAAAATTTTGCGATGTGTTAGACACAGCGGATAATGACAAAAGGCTTATAACAGAGTAATTCATGGCGAAACGTTATGATGAGAAAATTTGATTTGATCCTATTCGTGACTGGATGCCTCCTTTTGTGTTGTCCAGGTGAGTTTAAACTTAAAAAAACTTAAACGTACATTTTTATCTTCATATTATGAATCTGTTCTATATTGAAATGTAAAAAATGTGATTTTCACGTAGGCTGACCTGTACTTAACCTCGATTTTTTGAGGGTAATATTTCCTTATTACACGAAGCATATATTTCTAAACCTATGTTCTTATATTTTCAAAAAAAATAATAATTAACTTATTATAAGCTAATATGATTTGCAATGTAATAACTAATTAAGTAGGCTCTTGGTAAATTATGCAATTATCTTTTTCAAAGCTATCTATAAATACGGTGAATAAAATTAATTTTGTTCTGAATTATCTAATTAGATATTTGATAGATTCTGCATGAAATTAAATAATACGTGCTGTGCTCATTTTTTTTTTTTTTTGCTGAATGGTTTTTTCAGCTTTTAAATCCGAAAGTAATGCCTCCTAAAAAGTATTTCCCGTTTTCACCTCAGCAAGAAATAACGGCAGTGGATATGATTTTAAGAGTCTGCGTGCTTAAAGTTTACCAGGAAAGTAGGGTATCGACAAGGGTGGAAATCATAGCTAATTTACCACACGTTTTAACAGTTAGCATTTTGAGATAGGATCCCCCTAAATCAATAATTCTTGGGTGCACTCTCCCAAATTTATACGTTGGCATCGAGATTTTTTGCGGCGGTGACGGCAATGGAAAAAGAGAAAAATATAAGTAAAAGAGCAAAACTGTAACTCTGTAAGTGCATCACACTTTTTGATACATTTCTTCGCTGTCATTTTACGACTTGTGTGTTTCTATAACAGGGCGTGGACACACGACACAAATTTTTTTGTCTGTTTTAGCATTAACAGCTAATTAAAACAGAGTCCTGTACAAAACAAACAAACAAATAAACAGATACAAAGAAAATCAATACAGAAAGTAGCAGATACAGCTTATGTTTCCTTAAGACAGCTCCCTAATAAATTATCATTAGAACGCTGACAAAATGGTATCTTTTTTGATTTGCAGTAGCCGTGGAAGGCCAGTCTTTGTGGTTTAGGGACCCTTTTTTCATTTCATACGAAGTTACTCAGGGAGAAAATGTAGTAATGGATTGCGCAACCTTCCAGGAGGCATATCACACCGGACTTTTATATGAATATGGTCAAGTGCCGCCGTTTGAGCTTGTACCCGATGGGAAAAAACTCATGCGAGAAGACCAGATCTTCACTATAAATAACGTTACCGCACGGGATGAAGGGATCTACTATTGTGTAGCCAAAGACAAACAACTCGTGGAATACAAGAGGAAAGCGGGAGAGATTATTTTTATCTCTTGTAAGTGTAAATTTCTTATATACTTCCATGTATACACTTTT